GTTGGTCTCTTCTCCCTAGTAACAAGCGATAGGACGAGAGGAAATGGCCTCAAGTTGTGCCAGGGGAGGTTTAGATTCGACATTAGGAAAAATTTCTTTACTGAAAGCGGTCAAACATTGGAACAGGCTTCCCAGGGAAGTGGTGGAGTCACCATCCCCGAAGGTGTTAAAAAACCGTGTGGACGTGGTGCTTAGGGACAAGGTTTAGTGGGCATGGTGGTGTGGGATTGACGGTTGGACTTGATGATCTTAGAGGCCTTTTCCAACCTTAATGATTCTGTGATTCACACAATTATTCACAAGAACGTCATAGCAGTGCTGAGGGGCATTGTACCGGCTGCTGTGTCAGAGAACACAGATGCAGCAGGAAAGGCGGCTCTCGCTGGTTTAGGTAAGATGTCACCTTAAATAGAGCTCCACTAACAGCAAACGTTGCTGTAATCAGGAGATCGCAAGATAAAAACTTTCCCTTCGCTTTTACACCACACTGTGTTGTATCAGATAACAGGTTTTAAATGATGACTGGAGCAAACAAACAGAAAAAAGAACGTAGTATTTTGTAAAGGGTTATTCTTGGGGCTTGGGAACATCGCTGCGTGCTCCTACCAACCCAAGCCTCTCTGCTACCACCTGGACAGCCCCGAGTGCCTCGGGGCCTTTATAGCATCATCTTTGCACTTCCGTAATACACAGACTTCATGTGCAGAGATCAAGAGTTAGCGAGTCAAGTGCGGGGAAAAAAAAAAAATCTACAGTAGGTAACTTGTAATGGGTCATATTACTAGAAGTTTAGCAAGAACAGCAACTACAAGAAATTTTTAGTAAGATTTTTCAGTGTAATAATATGCTTGTTGGCACAATGTTTAAATCACCAGGTAACGATGACCAGTGAGAATTCTCACATCCATCCCCAGCTTGCTAGCAGCAATTTAGGCTGATTTCCTCAAGTTCAACATTTTCTGTTGCAAACTGTAGCTTTATGACAAATCTTCCTCATGATTTTAAGCACAAAGGGACTTTTCAACAGATGCGTATTGCACAGCTCAATCCTCACAATTCCAAACAGGGAAATTCTTTAAGGCCCAGATTTTACGTTTATTCCCCACAGACATTTTTTTCCTTTTTCTAGGTTCACTGTAAAATTTCAAAGTGCTAAATTATGCAAAGTTCTTAAATTATCACAAACAGATCTGCACAGCCAACATCCTGACCGAAGTCGCCAGCAGGAGGCAACCCAGAGGTTCGCTTTTTAATTGGTTTTATTTTTAACTTATTTATACAGTGCTGGTAAAATGCTTCTTTACCACCAATGTACCACTTGACTGGACTCACCAGCTACCGTATGGCTGCACTCCAACAGCCAATAATGTAATTTTGGGCCATTTCCTAACAAAAGCATTCAAACCCTAGTATCTTAATTTAGCCAAAGGGTGAAAAGTTAAGTAACCAGAATATGGACAATCTTCAGAGGAAGATTAGGTCAACCTCAAGATTGGAAGTGGTTCTGCAATTAAATGATTTCATTAACAGCCCCCTTTTGTGAGCTCCCAAACTCTTGAAATCCAGAACTAAGAAACTGGCCTTGCATTTCAGGCAGAGCACAAATGCCTTGGCACATCAACCCACACACTGCTGACCGTAACTTGATTCAGCGGAGAGGTGTGTCCGCGACTTGGCTGCGGCCAAGGGAGGCGGAACGAGCTGCAACGCTTCAGCAGGTTGAATGGAAGACTCCCCCCACTTTGACTCCCTGAGCAGCCAGGGCGTTGTACTCTTCCACAGCCTTCTCTGTTTGCAAGACCAGCACATCAATCCCGTTCTTCTTCAGATAGTCCACAGTCGATGGTGGAACCTCAGAAGAGAAAAGGAAATGGGAAGAGCATTAGATTCTTTCCCTCTCGCACCGTACGGCTCGAAGAAAAACAGGTACTGCTGCCATTTGTTGGATGCACTTAAGTAGCTGAGAGCAGCCGAATGGATAATTTGCTTGGGTATTTCTAAGATTGATTTATGGTTTTTTTGCTCTTCATTAAAACTACTTTTATCTACACTACCTCCCATCCCTGCTTAACAGTGCAAAATGCAGCCCTTTCTTACAAAAATAAAGAGAACTGGAGCTAAAGGTAATTTATCTAAATATGGCGTCACTCACCCCACTAAAAAAGCGGAAGAATTGCCTCTCGTGAAGCGAAGCTCAGGGCTTCTGAGCTTTCGTGGCTAGATTGTCTGCTGAAGTGACACCCTGCCAACCTCAGCAACAAAAATGCCTAATTATCCAAGTATTTACAGCAAGCTAAGAGCTACTTCATAACCAATTCTAAGAGGGGGCGACCAATGACATTGTACAAAATTCTCCTCGTTTAAACTGCTCCTGCAGCACGACGTAAACCTGTTCGCTGCTTGACGCTGACGTTAATACGGAGGAGCTCAAACGGTGTTTCTTTCAGGAAGAGGGTCTCCTGGCAGAAGCTCAGTCATGCTAATGCAGCATCCTGAATTTTCTCCCCGCTCTTATCATCATAGATTACCTCCTGCCCCGCCCCGCTCCCCATCAGAGGGAGAGGAAAACCAAAACAGTTCTAGTTTATGTTTCTCACGGAACAAAAACCTACCTGCAAAGCCTCGCTCATGCCACGACCAATCACCAGAGTTTTAACCCCCTTCTTGACAACTTCTTCAAGGTCAGCTGGTTGGACTCCCGGAGAATGCTAAGGGTCAGGGAAGGAAAAGGATAGTCTGTGTACTGCCAGCATCAGCCAGGAATGTGCTCTGAAACTGGCCACGGAGCAGCAGGGTAAATTAGCAGGACCAAAATGCAACACAACCCTCTCTTCTGCATACACGCGGTAGGTAACATCGGTAATTAGAAAGGTATTTTATATGCGGATGAAGGATGATAGTTAATCAACTGATGGCAATATTATCGTTCTTCATTAAACAGTTAAAAATAAAGAGATGCATTACATATTTCTAAACCATCTAACAACTAGCATCTTATAGATACTAAAAGCTAAAGTGAAAATCAACACGTTGCAACGTATCGCTGTTTTGCTTTCAAATGGACAAAATCTTTCCGTAGCGAAGACTGCAGCAAGCCAAAGTTTACTCACTTGAATCACAAAGAGCTCGTCCAATAATTAAAATGATTAAATTCTTCTCTTGTTTACTTTGCAAACCTCACTTACCAAAGAGGACTGAAACATACTGGTTACCTTCATTTCAGTGAACTGTTTCAATTTCTGCACTATTCTTAATTTTGAGCAATGAATATTTGAAGCCAAACTCCTCAAAAAAAAAAAAAAA